CCAGCCCCGCAAACCCTCTCCCCTCCCTTCTCCTACCTCCCACCCCCAAACTCGTCCCCTCCCTCTCTCTCCCGCCTCCCCGCTCCCCTCCCCGTCCCTTTCCCACTCCCACCCTCCCTCCCGTCCCCCGAGCCGCCTCCCCTCCCTCTCCCCCCCTCCCTCTCCCCGGGGCGGGGCGGGCGGCTCCGCGGGCGCGGGTGGGCTCGGCTCGCTCGGGCTCGGCTCGGGTGGGCTCAGCTCGGTCAGGCTCGGCTCGGGTGGGCTCGGCACGGCTCAGCCCGGCCCGGCACGGCCCGCCTGCATGCGGCGGCGGCGGCGGCGGGGCTGCCGGGCGGGATGAGCGGCTCGGGAATGCCGGCAGGGATGAACGGCTCCTCGGCGGGGCTGCCGGGCGGGATGAGCGGCCCGACGGGGCTCCCGGGAGCGCTGCCCGGTGCCGGGGGACTCCCGGCAGGGCCGAACGGCTCCTCGGCGGCGGCTGCGGGGCTGCTGGCGGGGGCCGGGGGCGCGGCGCTGGAGCTGGAGCGGGCGCTGCGCTGCTGCACCGCCGCCTCCGTGGTGACCGACGGCAGCGGCGCGGCCGAGGAGCGCAGCCTGTACATCATGCGGGTCGTGCAGATCGCCGTCATGTGCGTCCTCGCCCTCACCGTCGTCTTCGGCATCTTCTTCCTCGGCTGCAACCTGCTCATCAAGTCCGAGGGGATGATCAACTTTCTGGTGAAGGACCGCCGGCCGTCCAAGGAGGTGGAGGCGGTGGTGGTGGGGCCCTACTGACCGCCCGGCCCCGGGACAGCGCCCGGCCCCGCCGCGGACACGCCGCCGCCTCGGCTCGGAGCTTTTTCCTCCTTCAAAACCGTCCCACGGACGATTCCCGGGATCCCGGAGGCCCCGGAGCCGCCCGGCCCGTCCCGTCCGCCCGCGGGCTGCCAAGTAAAACGTGCTCTCATGGCAACAGGTCTGGGGGTCCTTATTCCGTCCGCCTTTATCCATCCGTCCCTCCCTGCGGGTCCCGGGGTGCCGCGGAGGGGCGCGGGGGGCGGCCGGGATGCAGCGGGATGAACCCTTCCCTCTCCCCCCGTGCAGGTTTTTCCTCGCAGCTGTGCTAAAATTGCCCTTTTCCAGCACTTTTCCAGCCCTCCCTGGTTGCACAAACCTGGACCAACCCGGGACCCTCATCCCTGGGCGAACCCGGGACCCTCATCCCTGG